CTGACCTCGTGATCAGCCTGTCTCGGCCTCCCAAAGTGCTGGGATTACAGGCATGAGCCACTGCGCCCAGCCGATGTTTTTTTTTTTAAACCCTTATTGGCTACCTTTGGGAGGACTCTGGGACCAACTCATCATCCTGAAAATATACACAAAAAGGGAATGAATCAAACATTTATTCTGTACCTTACCTGTACAAATTATGTTTCAGGGTAACGAAATGCTTAATATGGAAAAATTCTTATTTATAGAACTTCAAATAATACATGGGAAGGAATGATACCATCATTTTGTAACCTCTAATGAAATAATGGGTTTAGGTTTTAAAAAATCAGTGGTTGCTAAAAAACCATTGGGTGAAAATAACCTAAAGTGGATATAATAGGTTTGCCACGTCTGCACCACTGATCCATCCTTATCATGAAGACAGTCATCTTGTGCCTTCTGTCCTCATGTAGTTCCACCAGTGAAGTATTCTTGCCAAAAATTGTGATCAGGCCTCTATATTCGGACTTGTTTACAGAAATCAAGAAATGGAAAAGCATGCTACATAGTACTATGGGGATGCAGTCAGCAAATTCCAGGCTATAGAAAAGTCTATGAGGCAGATGACACAGTTTCTTTGACAAATAAATGACAGAAAAAACAAAGGGGGAACCTGTGTATTAAAACAGTGGTCCTCAGAGTGCTGGCATGAATCAAGTCACTGGGAGGGCTTGTCAAAACACAGATTGCTGGCTTCATCCCATAGTTTCTCATTCATTAGCCCTGGGTCAGGGCCCATGAATTTGCATTTCTAAAACGTTGCTAGGTGCTCTTCCTCCTGATGATCCAGAAACCGCAGAACTATGTTATTAAAGAAGTCTTGGATTATGAATCAAATACAATGTATGGATCTTATTTGGATTCTGTTTTGAACAAGCCAATTGTAAAACTAGTAATAATTCCCTTGATAATAGGGAAGTGTAGGCATGGGATGGACTTCTGATAATTTTAAGGAATTGGTATATTTTGATAGTGTAATCATGGTATTGTAATTATATTTTTCTTTTTTTAAAGAAGGCCCCATCTTTTTAGAAATATATGTTGAAATTATGGGTAAAATGCTGTATTGTTCACTTGAACATAATTGGCGCTGAAAAGTAGTTGAGGATAGAGGTAAAAAAAGATTGGCCAGGTTTTGACAATTGGGAAGAACGCGAGTGATGAGTATACAAGGATTCATTATCTGTATTAATTTTTCTACTTTTCTGTGTTTATGGAAATTACCTTCAAAATGTAAAATATATGTTTGGAAACATAAAAATATATTCCTAACTAGCTCATGACTTAAATGTAAGTCACCATAGAAATTACACATTTTTGGAATAGAACAGTCATGAATTATACTATTTCAAAACATGTGGGATGCAGGTAAAGCAGGACTTAAGGGTAAATTAATTGACTTAAGTCTTCCAAAAAAAGATTGAAATGAATTAAGTTCAACTTAAAAGTTAGAAAATGAAATACAGAAAAACTGGAGGGAAAAAAATAAGAGCAGAAAAAAGGGAACTAAGTGAATAATGCAGTCATCTTATATTAACAGGTAGCTGAGAAGATTGAATTGAACCAAGGCATTATTCTGAGAGAGACTGGTCTGTAATTTTCCTCTCTGTAATATCCTTGGTTCTGTCTCGGTACTATGCTAGCCTGATAGAAGAATTGGGCAGTCCTGAGCCAGGTATGGTGCTTGCCTGCAGTCTCAGCTACTTGAGAGACAGACAGTAGGATTGTTTGAAGCCAGGTGTTTGAGACCAGCCCGGGCAACATAGTAAGACAGAAAAGGAAAAAAAAAAAAAAAGTGTGGTAATCTAAAGAGAAATTAATAGTAGGACTTCTCTATTGTCTTAAATAGTTTCTGCCTCAGTGAGAAACTACTCAATTTATGTAGAAATGGCTCAGTATTTTTTCAGCACGCACTTCGTACCAGATGCTGTGCTAGGTATTGAGGACACATAGATGACTAGGATATGGCCCATACTCTGGCACTCAGTCTGTGGGAGCATATAAATTTGTAAACAAAAAATTAGAATCAGGCAGGAAACGTCAGTAGACAATATGGAAATGTTCCCAGGCAATTCCTTGAGAGAAGAAAATTTTTAATGTATAGGATGGACTCAGCTTTGTGAGGTTTTTCCTCAAGTAGTCTCCAAGAAGAAATGGCATTTACCAAGCAGCCAGTCTGTTATAATGGGACACATTAAAAATCACGAGGAGTTTGCTGTGTGACTGGGAGACCATTAAGTTATAAGAGCTGTCAGTGTATGTTATTTAGGATTTTTGTAGCAAGGTTTATATGAGAGATTGGCCTGTAATTTTCCTTTCTTTTAATATCCTTGTATGGTATCAAGGTTATGCTGGCCTTATAAGTGTTGGAAAATATTCCATCCTTGTTATGCTCTGGAAGAGATTGTGTAAGATTGGTGTTATTTCTTCCTTGAATGACTACAAAGCCATTGGGACCTGGGGTTTTCTTTAGTCAATGTGTACTAAACATTTAGTAGAAAGAGTGACCCAAAATTTCAACTTAAGTCGAATATGTATCTGAAAAGGTTTATTATTTTTACTAACATTTTCACATAAAACTTCCCTCTGCCCACTGAGATTAATCCACAGTTTGATCAGTGTTGTATCAGTGACAGAAATTCACCAGTATGAAAACCCAGTCCGTTTCTGACCACCAAACAGTGTATTACAGCTTCAAAAAAAAAATTTTTTTTTTTGCTATCTAGGCTTTGTGCTGTGTGTGCCATGGTGTCAAATGAGACAAATCTGTGTCATCCAAATACTTGTGAACTCAACTTGATATGAGCAAGCATCATATCATTTTAATCTTCTTGCTTTATTGGGATGTGTATGTGGATATATTAAGGGCTGATTATTTTCATGGTCTTTGCTGCTTGGAATGCTTTGTCTTAGTTTTTGTGGATGAATTTTTAATTACATTTTTATATTTCATAAGAAGTAATGAATTTACATCATTCACACTTCAGAAGTTATAAATAAGGTTCTCCAGCTTTGTCCTTTAGTCACCTAGTTTCTCATCTCTGGAACCAAAAGATGTTAGTTGCTTCTTAGCTATTCATCAGTTTTTATATTCTCTGAATATGCAATATATATTCACTCCCACTCCCTCCCCTCTTTTTTTAACACTTTACCTTGCTTTTAATTTAGTAAGTCCTTAGAAACTATTCCTTATCATCATTGCCTGTTAAAACTACCTCTTGTTTCTTTTCTCTTATGACTTCCTTGTATCTTGTGACAACAGTAATAATAAATTAATGTAGTCATTGTAATATTGATGGATTTTTAGGTTATTTCCAGTCTTCCTGCCCAGAAAAGCTACATTGAATATCCCAAATTGCTTTTGAATAATTAAATTATCATTTTCTCTTCCTTCGCTAGTTTTTTAGGACAGATTTTTTTTTCTTTTCATTTCAGCCATGAACCAGAGAATCAGTCAAAGTGCTCCAGTGAAACAACCACCACCCCTGGCTCCCCAGAGCCCACAGGGAGGCGTCATGGGTGGCAGCAACTCCAACCAGCAGCAACAGATGCGACTGCAGCAACTCCAGATGGAGAAGGAGAGACTGCGGCTGAAACAACAAGAACTGCTTCGGCAGGTGAGGCCACAGGTTAGAAACCAGCCTTCCACTTTTTGGGGTTTGTTTTCTTAAAGTTGGGCAGATTGCATTTTAACATTTATTAGTTACAGAGGAATGTTGTCTTTTGTAAAACTGAGCGACACAGAAGCATTCTATCCAGCCCTGTCCTTGTCTTAGTTTCGTGACTGTGAATGGCCTTTGATCAAGTTACAAGGGATGTGACTTGGAAACCTGTATCGTGAAGAGCTGTTTTGGTCATGGTCATTGCAATTGAGCAAAAAGTGAAGGAAGCAAGGATGCTTTCTCTAACCTACATGGAATTATGGATTGCTGTTTTTCTGAGGATTTCACTAAAGGGGAAATTCTAGAACATCACTTGGGAGAAAATATCCTTTATTAATAACTTATGTGGTGGGATGCACCAATGTGACATTTCTCAAATGAAATATACTTCAGTATTACCGAATCTAAGAATTTTCATTTAAAACAAAATAAATATTACCTTTGGCCAGGTGCGGTGGCTCACGCCTGTAATCTCAGCACTTTGGGAGGCCAGAGTGGGCAGATCACTTGAGGCCAGGAGTTCAAGGCCAGCCTGGACAACTTAGCGAAACCCCATCTCTACTAAAAATATAAAAATTAGCCAAGTGTGGTGGCACACACCTGTAATCCCAGCTACTCGGGAGGTTGAGGCACAAGAATCACTTGAGCCTCAGAGGCAGAGGTTCAGTGAGCCAAGATTGTGCCACTGCGCTCGAGCCTGGGTGACAGAGCGAGACCCTGTCTCAAAAATACAAAAGTTATCTTCAAGTTTAGAAGATGCCAGTGTGCTTTAAAATGACCTGCTTATGGATGTTTTTTTATGTTGGGAAAAGTAGGACATAGCAGTAGAGAGCTTGAAGCCCTTTAATCACCATTTCTATCAGCTTTCTTCTAGAAGGTACTGTCGGTCTTTATGTTCCTCATATATATAATTAATGTCAACATTAATTTTTACTTATTTCAGAGTGGTTAAATCTAAGTTCAGATATTGGGGATAAGGTCTTTTGTTAAGTAGTGTAGATTTTTTTTAATTTCTATATAAAATTTTTTTGAATAGATAATAGAAACATGGTATAATAGTGATAAATGTACGAAAGGTGAAAGTAGACTCAAAATAAGAGCTTTTCCCTGTTTTTCTGGTTCTCTCCTATGGGGCCTGAATAACTATGAGTTTCTTAGGTTTTTTGTTTTTTGTTCATTTTTCCAGAGATATTCTGTTTACATACATAAAATACATGTATCTATGCTGTTTTTTCCCCACCTAAATCACAGCAGGCTAAGTATAAACATTTAAAAATCATTACACTCGGCCAGGCATGGTGGCTCATGGTGGCCCATGCCTCTAATCCCAGCACTTTGGGAGACTGAGGCAGGAGGCTTCCTTGAGCCCAGGAGTTTGAAACCAGCCTGGGCAACATGGTGTGAGACCCTGTCTCTAAAAAAAAAAAAAAAAAAAAACACAAGTCTACATTTCTGTTACCAGGAAGTAGGCACTTAAAGGTCTGGTTTTTTTTTTTTTTTTTTTTTTTTTTTTTAGGGCTATATTTTAGAAGTATCTCTTGAGTGTCAGTAAAAATATATGAACTCAGTACTACCTGAACTCTGATTTGGGGTTTGAGGAACTGATATTTAAGGAGTTAAATTAAGCCATGGCTTCTGAGACAGGCTCACTTTTAAACTGTGCTTTGTCGGTAATCTGGCCATACAGCTCTAGTGTGATTGGCATCAAAGGTAAACCCTGATAGAAGGAGTAAGACAGTATGTGCCAACATATGATGTCAGGAACTTGTTGGGGCTCAGAAAATGATGCTACAAAATATGATTCTTTGACAGACTAAACTAAGGAAGCAGCCTCAAGTTCTCTCCCAAAGCACAGGATGAGGCTGTTCTTTGAAGTTCCTTTATCTACCTAGAAACCAGACCCGCCAAAAAGGAATACAATTGCCGTTGATCCCCTCCCCAAAATTTCATTAGCCAGAGAAGACTGAAACTTGTATGACAGAGGAAAAGACTAAAAATTAAATATCACACCTAGAAAGCTCAGAGGAACTTTGCCCAGACTATTGTCTGTTCTCAGATCCCATTCAGTTTCCAAAGAGAATTATTTACTAACCATTGTCTGAGCTCTGGGCCCATTCATTCTTCCTACAAATCATTTACTGCCCTTCAAAATGGCCTCATTTCCCTCATGTTCCCTTCCCCTGTGAAGAAGGGTATTATATAGTATCTGGAACTTAGTTATTGGGTAATCATTCTCTTGCAATTTCCCCCATACTTGGGTACTTTAAATAAATTTGTATGCCCTTTTCTCCAATTAATTTGTCTATTAGTTCATTTTCAGCGAACCTTTAGAGGGCAGAGGGGAAGTTTTCCTTTTGGCCCCTATAAAGTGATCTTGAAAGAAATGTTTCTTTATCTGACATAAAAAAGATGGAGAAAGGAAGCATTATTGTACCTCTGACTTTCTAACAAATTACCATAAAGAAGATGTTTCACCTGCTATTGTTAGAACACGGTAGAACCATCAAAAATATGATTATGTGGCTAATAGAAAAAATAAAGCAATTTAAAAATGTTTTATGTAACCTATTTTCATTGTTTTTCATTTTGTTGTTACCGAGTAGTAGTTGTTCTGAGTAAATGCAGGTCTCAATTTCACTGAATAAAAACTGTCAAAATCAAAAAACTGAAAAACAGTTCTTTAATTACTAATGTTAAAATCATACTGTTTTTAAGATAATTTGTAAAGTCTAGAAATGGGGCCATTCGCCATTTTGTTTTATGCCATAGATCATCCTGGGGTTTTTTGGTGGGCAAACGCTGCTATTTGTAAAACTCTACTTTCAAAACCCTAAATCTTAATTCTCAATCTTACTCTGGGTGATGGGTCCTGGACAGAATAGCTTCACTTCCTTTAAAGGTAACTTCTTTGTTTCATCTTTACTACCTACTGTGTCGTCTTTTCTTATGTTGAAGTTGACAGACCTGCTCTATTCTCATACTAATAGACTATTTTTTGGATTTTTTTTTTAAGTAATCACAATGAATTCAGTGTATCTTAAGTCTTTTGGCTTCCTGTGAACTTCTTCCATTGATAGTTTATCTTACCACTGAAACATCAAATATATTGTATCTGCTTTATCTAATACTCAGAAGCAAAGAACCTTCGTGACCAATATCAAATTTTTTTTAGTTCTGACACCTAAAGTCTTGCTGTCCTATCCTCAATGCTGTTAAAAACTTCTGAGGTTCCAGTTTTGTTATATGGTGACTCCATTGGCTCCTGTCTTCCTCAGTCTGCTTCTTCTTGGGTAGCTTGGGAATTCTGTGCTATGGTGATATGTCTGGATACAATTTGTAAGTCAGCCTACACAGCCAGACCATGTGGCTTAAAGTAATTTTTATCCATCTTATTTTTTACTCTTAGGCAATGCGGAATATCAATCCCAGCACAGCAAATTCTCCAAAATGTCAGGTAGGCTCTTATCTGATGTTTTAGCACTGGAAAAAAAAAAAGATATTAAATTAGGAAAGATAAACTTACATTCCAGGGTCCTATCCTTATTGGACATTAGCCCAGAGTATAACTTTGAGCCATCTTTGATACTGAGGTTAACATCGCCCTTCCAAGAAAGTCTACACAGTCTGCTCCCTCCCTGCTCCTCCTAGGGAGTTTCTGTTTGTTTTGATTCCATGGAGGTCTTTTTTTATTCTATATTTAAATGTATTGTGTCTCAGTCGTACATCCTATCAGCTTCTAGGTATGTCTAATTTTTATTTGAATAGCTTAAATAGTATGTGTAATGATTTAAAGGAATTAATAAATTGAACAGTAACAAAAGCAGTACTTACTTGGGTAGGCTCGTTTAGGAAATTTTAGTTATGATACTATGTGGAAGAGAAAAATTCTTTCTAGTGGACATTCTAAAGGAAAAACATCAAAATTATCAGGAGAGGGTCTGCCTGGATAGTGTTTCAGGTTTTCTTGTTGGCTTTTATCAGCATTCTCTGATGGACCCCAGGGAGCCCTGGTTGTGAAGGCATCTTATTTAGAAGGAAAGATTGTGGCCATTTTTTCTTCTAACACAGGCACTTGTCTGACTTGTGGGAAGAATCTCATTCTTAAAACCAAAAAGATTTTAGGTGTTTGGGGTCTGCAAGATTAGAAGAAATTTGGAGCCAGAGGATCATTCTACTTCTCTTGGGGCAAAAGCAACCATAAAATGCCTCACATTCTATGTAGCTTATTCTGCACTAGGCTAAATAAGTACATTGTTTTAGAATCTGCTGTAGAAGTAGGAGTTGGCAAAATTCTGCTCATTTTGGATACTGTTAAGTTGTCCATTGGAGCACCATGATGATAAAAGTCAGATACAGTCTTCATAGAGACCAGTTAATTTTGTGAGAAGGAAAATCTCTATTCTTCTTTATCCGTCTCATAAATGCCTCCATTCATCAAAAGACCAAGCAAGGGATAGCTCATAATAACCCATCTTCACCAAAGTCAAGCATAGACATTCTTATGATGAGGGGGCACTAATATCCCATTTGACTGTGAAGTGCAGCATAGCATTGGGTCTTTATAACATGAAGCCATTTTTTTCTTTGCCATTTCTCTGAAGTGTTTTTTTTTTGTTTTGTTTTGTTTTTTTTTGTTTTGTTTTGTCTTTTTGTTTCATTTTTGAGACAGAGTCTCGCTCTGTCGTCCAGGCTGGAATGCAGTGGCGTAATCTCGGTTCACTGCAATCTCCACCTCCTGGGTTCATGCCATTCTCCTGCCTCAGCTTCCCGAGTAGCTGGGAATACAGGCGGCCGCCACCACGCCCAGTTATTTTTTTTATTTTTAGTAGAGACGGGGTTTCACCATGTTAGCCAGGATGGTCTCAATCTCCTGACCTCGTGATCCGCCTGCCTCAGCCTCCCAAAGTGCTGGGATTACAGGCGTGAGCCACCACACCAGGCCTGAAGTGTTTCTGAAAGAAGACTTTTATTCATGATAAATGAAATAGAAACTAATATAGGAGCAGAAATTAACTCAAAGGAGATTTGGATTCAGGTAAAAAGTCCTCCATGCCATAAAAATGTTGAACTTGTTTCCTTTTTTCCCAAGGTCTTATACCCTGAATCTGGTAAATAGTCAAGTTCTTCTTGATCTTTGTTTCATACTTGAATAGAAAAGTAAATCCTTACTGTTATTAAAATTATTAGGAATTCTTAGATTTTTTAAAATAGTAAAGCTTTAGAAAAGATGAGCCTTATTAGTAGTAAAGTTTCTAAGATGTGAAGATTAGTGGTAATTACTTAGATTTGCCCAGACCACAGCAAAAAACTTGAAAGAGGTTTTTTAAAATCTTTGCATATGCTGGAGATTAAAATACTGGTTTGTTATATATGCTTTAGTTGTCAATGTATAATATTTACCTGACATAATTGTGGAAAATTAACAGTTAAATGTATGAAAATCAAGTATAGGGTTATATTTGAAATAGCTCAGATCAAAAAATCTGGAGGTATTTGTATGAGGAAAGCATGTGTATATTTTTCTCATCCTATTATTTTCCAAATAACCATAAGGTAGTTGTCAGGAAATAGATCACAAAGAAGAGTCGTATCTTTTTCTCTCTTCTTCTTCTTCCTTTTTTTTTTTTTTTTTTTTGAGATAGAGCCTTGCTCTGTTGCCCAGGCTTGAGTGCAGTGGCGTGATCTTGGCTCACTGCAACCTCCGCCTCCCGGGTTCAAGCGATTCTCCTGCCTCACCCTCCTGAGTAGCTGTGATTACAGGCACCTGCCACCACGCCCGGCTAATATTTTGTATTTTTAGTAGAGACAAGGTTTCACCATGTTATCCAGGGTGGTCCCCATCTGTTGACCTCGTGATCCGCCTGCCTCGGCCTCCCAAAGTGCTGGGATTACAGGCATGAACCACCATGTCTGCCCAGAAGAGTCATATCTTAAGTGAAGATGGCTTTAAATAGTGTTTCTCAGAATAGTCAAGAAAGCTAGAAAGGATATTTCAGTCCCAAAGAACAGAGGGTACAAAGACATCATTCAGTATCTGAATACCAGACACTGTTGTTCAAAGTTACTGATTTTTTAAGTTATACTTTTCTAATAGATATTAATGCAGCTGAATTAGCAAGCAATAGTGAGAGCAGTGTCATTTTCTAATGACACATCGTATACCTCATATGCTGTGGGATGTGGAAAGCCACCAAACTTCAAAATGCTTATGAAGTACTACAAAAGCTGTCTTTAAGTACTTCCAGCAGGATTAACAAATCACGTGGCTGTTGTAGGGTGCTGTGCTCGTGTACACTAACATCAGTATGAGTGAGGTTAATGGAAAATTCCAAGATCCATGGGCTTAGTGATACTGAAATGTAAAATTTTGAAAAAACTTTAAAGGCATTTATATATCTTCTTAGTTAAATATGGAAATTATTACCTTAATTTATTACACTGTGTTGGCAGAATTTTAGAAAAATTCATCCTTACAGAGCTTAACTTTTTATTTTTATTTTTATTTTGAGACGGAGTTTTGCCCTTGTTGCCCAGTTGGAGTGCAGTGGCGTGGGTAATCTTTGCTCACCGCAACCTCTGCCTCCCGGGTTCAAGTGATTCTCCTGCCTCAGCCTCCCAAGTAGCTGGGATTACAGGCATTCGCCACCATGCCCGGCTAATTTTGTATTTTTGATGGAGATGGGGTTTCTCCATGTTGGTCAGGCTGGTCTCGAACTCCCAACCTCAGGTGATCTGCCCGCCTTGACCTCCCAAAGTGCTGGGATTATAGGCGTGAGCCACCGTGCCCGGCCAAAGAACTTAACATTTTAATTTCATTTTGATTACTTAAGATTTTTATGTTTCAAAAGCAATTTCCATTCTCAGAAGAAACTTTTTGAAACTGTAAACATCTTTGCTTTGTGAGATTGAGCAGTTAATGCTATTTTCTAGTCGTATCTCTGTCACACATCAGTGCTCACTTGTAAATTGGAGAGACCTTTTGAGCGAGTGGGTTTAGGAATGCACTCTAGCTTCTGTTGCAAGGTCTTTTGAGAGAAGCACTTTGAGGAAAGATAGTCCCCCTTGAGTGCGAACCCTTCTACCTTCTCTTGTGCTTAAGAATATGGTTCTTGGACTGGGGGCGGTGGCTCACGCCTGTAATCCCAGCACTTTGGGAGGCTGAAGGGGGTGGATCACCTGAAGTCAGGAGTTTGAGACCAGCCTGGTCAACATGGTGAAACCCTGTCTCTACTAAAAATACAAAAATTAGCTGGGTGTTGTGGCAGGTGCCTGTAATCCCAGCTGCTCAGGAGGCTGAGGCAGGAGAATCACCTGAACCCGGGAGGCAGAGGTTGCAATGAGTCCAGATCGTGGCATTGCACTCTGGCCTGGGCGAAAAGAGCAAAACTCCGTCTTAAAAAAAAAAAAAAGAGAGAGAATTTGGTTCTTGGTATCTGGGGTTTCCTAGTACCTATGAGATCAAGTTTAAACTCTGCAACTGGCTCATGGTCTGTGGTCAGTAGCCTTCTCACTCACTGGTTCCAGTTAAGCCAGTAACTCTTCCATTAGCTAGGTGCACTCTGCTACCTTGTAGCTGTTACTCTGCTCACAAGCTTTTCCCCATAGTAAGAACCTTGCTTATACCCTTTCTTACCAGTAAAGATTCTTCATTTCTCTTTTTTTTTCCTTTTTTTTTTTCTTTTTTATTATACTTTAAGTTCTAAGGTACATGTGCACAACATGCAGGTTTGTTACAGATGTATACATGTGCCATGTTGGTGTGCTGCACTCATTAACTCGTCATTTACATTAGGTATATCTCCTAATGCTATATCTCCCTTCCCCCTCCCCCCTCCCCTCTTCATTTCTCTTTTAAGGCTTTGGGTGAGATTCATTCCCAAGTGCCCTTATGAGAATTCTTGAGGCAGGGCACAGTGGCTCACGCCTGTAATCCCAGCACTTTGAGAGGCTGAGGCAGGCAAATCACCTGAGGTCAGAAGTTCGAGACCAGCCTGGCCAATATGGTGAAACTCTGTCTCTACTGAAAATAGAAAAATTAGCTGGGCTTGGTGGCATGCACCTATAGTCCCAGCTACTCAGGAGGCTGAGGTGGGAGGATGGCCTGAGTCTGGGAAGTTCAGTGAGCTGAGATCGTGCCATTACACTCCATCCAGCCTGGGTGACAGAGTGAGAGTGCCTCAAAAAAAGAAAATTAGAGAATTCTTGAAACTACTCAGAAATAAGGACAATACTGCTGTATAAAGACATCTTAACTCAGTAGCCAGTGTAATTCCAATTTAGGTGGTCAAAAGTGATATGGGATTACTTTGTTTCTGGGCAAGTAATTGCTTCAGTCTGTATAGAAATTACAGTATAAATATTTTGCAACTATTGAATAATGTGTAATTGCCTTTCCTTATGGGTGGTAATGAATAGACACCAGGATCAGTCACTGGTTTAATGAATGATAAAGCC